AACTGGCTGTTGAGTATGAGATGAACTGAATTTAAAAGTGAAGTGTTTACTAGTTATAATCACATACAAGTTGGAATGGATGCATATAAATCTGTTATATAAATGACCCACCTAAGTGGTACTCAGGATATCACTCAAGAAATCACTCAAGATATCCCTCAAGTAATTAAGGAACAAAAGAAGAAAAGGCACACTAGCCTGGGAACTTCCTCTCTGCCCAGAACATTGGAGGCTATACACCACACCCCCTCAACAGTATTTATAGGAACTCAAACACTGAGATCCTGCTCTGTTCCAGTAACAAGAAGCCGAAAGCACCAGCCTGAAGATGACGAGTGAGACCTCGTCGAAACGTCGCCTAGACACCCCAACTTTTACACGGGAAGACACCCGAGGACACCAAAACCTACATATATATATATATATATATATATATATATATATCCCACAGCTGCATAAACCAAAAGCAAAAGGCCAACCTTTAGAAGCAGTAAAGAAAGACACGACTATCTGGCTTCTTTTTTCTTTTTCTTTTTTTTGCTGCAGAACAGACTTTAAATAATATACCAAGCTGTTGGTAACTGCTGTGGAAGTTAACAAGCCCTATTCTGTCTCCAAATACATTGGAGGGTTTTTCTAAATTCATGCAAATGTGAGAGTATATGCTTGAGAGAACATGCACAAATAAATCCACATGCTTAAGTTGAATATGGTGGATGAACTTTTATCCTATCTGGTTGAACCCTGAGGAACCAGATGGCTGGTCGGAATCTTCCAACAGGGCCAGCTGCTTTTAGATGCAGCTGGGCTTCAGCTAATGCCCTGCTGTCCCTGGACGAGATTTTCCAGGGAGAGTAAAATAATGGTCTCTCAGGAGGGCATCAGCTGAAAAAAGAACAGTTGGCATGAGAGAGGAGGATGAGAGTAGAAGCAGCAGAGGGAGCGACTCATTCACATTATGCCAGTCAGCCAGAACTATCCTTACAAGGCATTTTCAATGTCAACGCAGCAGTGGGAAGTGTCACAAATTGAGAATAGACTTCAGACAGGACTGGGAATAAAGAACTAGCTTTATTTTCATGGCTGTGACTGTGAGCAATGCTAGATCACCCCAGAAAGGAATTATATTGAAAAATAGAATGAACAGGAGCCTCCACAGGCAGATTTTTGGCTGTTTCTGCATCACACATTGACCAGATATATTAAAAAGTGACATTATGGTCTATTTCTGTGGTGGTTGCAGTTGCATGCCCCGCGAAGGCTGAAATAACCAACCAACCAATCTTGAAAGGACTTTTTGTAAAGAATTTATCTGTCTTCTATTTCCGAAGGACAGGGATCAGCAGGTTGAAGAGGGTCTTGCCTATCCAGCAGCCGGGATGGAATAGAATCATCAAACTGAATCGTATAATTGTAGAGTTGGAAGGGACCCCTGAGGGACATCTAGTCCAACCCCCTGCAATGCATAGCTATCATCACATTAGAACTAGCTTGCAGCAAAACAGCACACACATACACACAAACTAGAATCTCTGTTTCTCGTGACATAAATTATCAATTGTCTAATTGGAAATGTCCAGTTGTTCTGATACAAACCTTCACCGCTTCTTCCCTGAAGCAAGAGGTGTTGAGCACCTTTATTCAATATGAACTTGCAACCTTTTAAAAATAAAAATAAAAATTGTAATGTTTCTCCCAAATATGTCATACTGATGGTTTTGTGATAGAATGTCAGATTATGTTTACCGCTGTATTTATGGGGCTAGAGAATGTGGGTGGGAGAGCCTCTTTAGAAGCGCAATAAAGGACCCATGAACATTATTATATTATAATCCCATATAAGTTAAGCATCAAAATTACTTAAAAGCATACTGAATGCTTTTTGTGTACCCAATAGGGTTTTGGTTTTTTTTTTAAAAGAAAATGTTTAGTCGGAACCATAAGCTCCTCATACATAAACATTTCAGGAAACCTGATACACACATATATCCTTTATGCCTTAGAGAAAGAGAACTGTAAATTTGTATTAAATTTAAAACCACTTCAATGTGATTTCAGCAACTCCCAGCGATAATTTAATCAGTGCCAGAGTGTTTTTAATATCCCGAAAGTCTTAAATGTAACTTGAATATTTTGCTTTGGGTATTGCAAGAGCTGATTCTCTGTAATGGGTCTTTGGGCTTCAAGGCTAATCTGCTTCTGTCTGTTTGTAGAAGAAAGGAAATGTTTGCCTGAAATGCTGTAATCATATAGCTGGCATTGAACCTGTAGACACGAACAGCATTTAGTACATACTTGACTCTCAGTCCAAGGAATTACCAGTCTCTTCCATTTTGAAAGCATTTAAGCCTCCACTGGATTTCAGCCATACTCTACAGACTTTAGGATACTGTGCAGCAATATTGAGCCTTTGAAAGTGCCAAGATGGTTTCAGCTTAATTTATTGACTGTGTTCATTTGACTGATTGGAATATTAGGGCCACATTTATTTATCTATTTATTTATTTCATAAAACCTATACAGCACTTGATTGAAAAGAAACCTCAAAGCAGTTTATAAAAAAAGGGGGGGGGGAATCAAGAAAAAAGTACAACAGTACTTTAAAACATACAGAAGTTGAAATACTAAAACAGATTAAAATGACCTCAAATTGCTAAGCACCTGGGTAGGTTTGTCTAAATAAGAATGTTTTTAGCAGGCACCAAAATGAGTACAGCAAAGACGTCTGCTTGATCTCAATATGCAGGGAGTTCCACAGTGTAGTAGCCGCCACACTAAACAATTGAGATCTTACAAATGCAGATTAATTGGGGTGAATACTATACTGGGCTTGGTTAAGGAAAAGACAAGGGCAGACAGCTTTCCTGTGTTCTGATGAAATACCTCTTAGAAATGTCTAAGGAAATAAATGACAAATGGGTTAATCTACAATTTTATTTATTAATTTGGGAAATAAATGTTTGAGTTGTTCTGCAGCACAAGGCTGCTAGGGCAGAGCACACTTAAAAACTGTTACTTTACAGGCCATAACCCAATGAGAAAATCAGGAGACAGCAGGCTGGCATGCTAGAATGCATGGGCAAGTAAAGCATTGCTCAGTTGGCACCAATATGAATCAGGGTTGGAGCCAAGTGAGCTTCTCTGGGTAGGGCATTCCAGATGCAAGTTACCACAAGTGAGAAATCCCTGCCAACTGACTTCTTGTGCCAGGAGAACTCAGTAAAACCTCTGCTGATGACCATGAGGTTTAGGCAGGAATGTGTGGTAGGAGACAGCGCTTCTGTGTCCCAGACATGAGCAGTGGCAGCCAATCCCCAAAATGACATCGCTGCAGAGTTGGAAGGGGCATGGGAAAGAGTGACCGTAGAAAAGAAAAAAATTACCCATTTAGTGTTGGCCCCCTCCTCTACAAGGATACCAGGAAAACTGATTGGCAGATAAAGAGGTACCTTGGAAAGCTACCCCTCCGGATTGATTAGAATAGCTCAGAAATGATTATCAATGCCTGTTCTAACAAGACCGAATTGCAGATATTTGTCTCTTCATAATGGGGAGATACTACACTAACAGGAGGCCACTGTTATCCTTTAATTCAGCTCTATCGTGGACTTTTCTGCAGCTGAAAAAGCTGCACTGTAATTAATGGTTTGCCTGAGGATCGGCCCTGATATAGCCAAAAAAATAATAATCACATCTTGTATTTTCTGGAAGGCAACCTGAAAGCATGTTTTGATACCGGTCCCAGCCGCCTGGGTGCTCAGTACAGGTTAAACACAGCAGAGTTCCCTGTATCACATTAGTAGTGTTTCATTTTATTCTCTAAAGTTGAATCTGTATCCTGAGTCATAAGCACAAATATAACCCATTAGCTTTCTCAGCAACACTGATGGCAGCAACAGCAAAACCATATGTTCTCCATTTGATTTACCATCAGCAGCAACTGCCTGGCTGCCCACAGTTATTCTCTGCTTAATAATATTGGCTCATAATAAGTGAATATCTGCTATTAACTAGCATGTGAAGAATTTTTAATAGGAATCATGATGCCTCTGGTTTTGCGCTTCTATAAATCTCTTCCTCCAGTGCTGCACTGTTGGAAAACTAAAAGAATTTCCCCCAGTGTGTCAAAACAGAACGGCTTTGACTTCAAGTGATGTCAATTACCGAGCAAGCTTGAGGGTGGGGGGCATGAAACAGAGCATCTAGCTGCATGCACACACTCTTTGATTTTTGTGCAGTGATCAGTGACAGACTTTGCTAAGCTGCTTCTCTGGATTATTATTTTTTTGATGCTGCTACATCAATAAAAACTTCAGCTGTAATTTATCCACTTCATCTGTGTTGCACTGTGGTCAAAATGAATGTGTCATCTACGCCTTAGATTTTACCATCAGTTACTTTATGCTTGTCTTACTGCTATTACAGGCCAGTCTTCTGACTACTTTCCAATCTTTTTGCGTACTCTTCTCCTATCTAGTTCATCTCGTCTCAATACAAGCCTGCATTACCTAAATGTATTGACTGTCCTGGCAAGCAGGGAACTGTGTACTTCAACAGCATGCCTATATACCCACAGGAAAGCTAGGTCATATTTTAACTATATATGCATGAGCTTTCTCGTGTACTCCCCTCTCACCTCTTTTGGCACAGCTGTGAGATAAAAGGCATTTGCTTCCCGTTTCAACTAACCAAGGTTTGTTGTTGCATCCAAACCTAGACAAACTGTGGTTAGCTTTAAAAATGGTTTCTTGAACAAAGCCAACTTTGAATCATGGCCAGTGAAATACTACTGAATAAACTGACTTGTTAGCGAATGTTTCTGTTTTGCGGTTCTAGAAAAGGCTTTGGCGATGAAAGGCAGAAACCTTTGCTCAGTGAGTGGCTCCAGGTCTTGAAATGAGATCTGTGTGGGATGTTAGTAGGAAAATGGGGCAAAGAAAAGGCAACAGGAAAAAAATGGAAGCATAGACTTAATGGATCATTTCTTTCTTTCTTTTTAGGAATGCTGTGGAAGAAAACAAAAAACTCTATGCAATTTATGACACAAGGTAAGTCATAAAACTGTGCAAAAACAAAAAAGTGCAAAAAACAAAACTCAGATATAAAAGTTTGAGATTATTTAATCACTTAAAAAAATCAATTCACTCATTTAATAATGCCAATGGTTCCAACTATTATCAAATTTTTGGGCTCCAATTTGGAAGGTATTTAATGCTTCTCTTTTTTCAAAATATAATAAACAGATATTCTGAGGTCTAGGAGAACTGCGTGCATCTTTTCATCAAATATATATAGATATAAAGCTAAATATTGCCTTGGAAATCTGCATGTCTGACTAAATAAAGCATGGAAGAAGGAACTGATTTACCTTACCAAGGAACTTAAAGTATTTTATTCTGAGCTACTCTCCCCCACCCCACACACAGGTGAAATTATGGGTGGAAAAGTTGATGAAGGAAAAATTTTTGAGTAGAAAACTCAGAGAATAGGATTAAATAAATCCTGCACACTTTGATTTTATTTGATTTACTGTATTTCTCAGTTACTTTTCATTCAAATGAATCTCAAAGTGGCTTACAAACAATGAATAACAATAACAGAATGAACATAATAGAACAAATACAGATAAATCATATAAAATAACTAACAAATCATCAATAAAACAATCACAATCTATTAAACACTATTAACAGCACCGCAATTAAAAATAATCTGAACATCACAATTACAGCAACTCTGATTAAAAAATCAATACAGCATTTATAATCTATCAAACAATATTAACACTAACAAAATAGCAGCTAAAAAAAAACTATCTAAGCACTGTTTAGTTCATACAGACTGTATTTTGAATTACTCAAGTTATTCTCTCTTCCTCTTCTCCAGCTCACAAACTTTGAAACTTCTTTCTAAGTTTGAACTGGTTTATTGTTTTGTAGTGCCAAATAACAATAAAACCCACCCACTTTCTCCCGCCGCTTTTCCTCTGCCCAAACTTTCAGACTCCCGAGGCAGCTTTTGATTAAAAACAAAACTGGGGAAAAGAAACACACAACTGTATATCATGTCTAGTTTGGCCCCAGAGAGAGAAGGGGAAAAACTTGAAAATGATGTATGGTTTTTGTTTTTTAATCAGAGCACATGGCTATTCATAGAAGCTGGCATTTGCTTTCCTGAGAACTTGTATCTGTGACTGATAGGTTTTGGGCAACTTACCAAAATGGGGTTTATAACATACTGGCTTATCAGACATAGCAAAGTCTGAAGTCTAAAAGAAGGAGAGGGTGGGTATTGTTGCAGGAGTATGTGTTCTGATGAGATACGTTCTTTATTTGACCATAAAGTGCACACCTAGGCATAGTTCAGTTCTACAGGCACAGTAATATTCTACGTAATAAAGTTATGACACTGACACCTGTCATACCATATGCTCTAGAGAATATTAAGACTGCAGTGGAAAATTCCATTTATGATCTCAGTGTACAACTGTACTGATTAATTTCCCAGGCCTGAAAAGCAAATGCAGTCTTCATCAACAGCCATGAAATTACCATAATGTAACAGAGTGCAGGGTTGGTGGGTGGGGGGAATCAAACCCAGCAAACTTAATACAAACAAAAAACAAAAAAACCCTGGTCAGCAACTGGTTTTCTTGGGGAGCGAGTTTGAGGTAGGAGTAACTGGTGAGGCAACATCTCTGCTAGCATCTTTTAAAGCAGAGGTGGAAAGCTGCAAGCCTATTGACAAAATGTGGCCCTCCAAGTCTTTCCATCTGGCCACTAGGCCAGGCATAGGCAAACTCTGGCCCTCCAGATGTTTGGGACTACAATTCCCATCATACCTGACCACTGGTCCTGTTAGCTGGGGACGATGGGAATTGTAGTCCCAAACATCTGGAGGGCCAGAGTTTGCCTATGCCTGCACTAGGCCATTTCCTCTTCCCAGGCCACACCCTTCACTGGCCCCATTCTGCACTATCCTTGGCCCATGCATTAGCACAGCTCAGTTCGTTAGAGCCTGATAACGCCAAGGTTGCAGGTTCAATCCCCATATGGGACACCTGCATATTCCTGCATTGCGAGGGGTTGGACTAGATGACCCTAATGATCCCTCCCAACTCTATGAATGTTTCTAGCTGGTTGGACTATGTCCTTGAATTGTGATACCTTAAGGAACAGATGCCAAATGAGTCACAATTCCTTTTTTCAATACTTTCTTCGCAGCAGTTGCATTTATTCACTACAGTAATATTGTAATGCAGCATTTTTATTTTATTTTATTTTTTAATCCCAATGCAGCTAAAGTAGTACCAGATTTTGCAATTATGCACATAACTGGAAGAAGCCCTAGAGCAGATTAAACAAGTGTTGTCCACTCTTTTCACTATATTAGTCCAGCTTTGATGAGCACAGGTGGTCTTAAAACGATTAACAGAATTCCCTTATTAATAACCTGTATGTATCTTACAAGATAGTATTGCTATTAAGTTTGGAGCACATCAGAGGAACAATCCAGCCAAAGTTAAGCTCTTTAACTCACCCTTTGAAACATGTCCTTAGCTCCCACACACTGAAATCATATTTAACCGTGCTTGCTTTGGTTGAATTATGCCCTACATAAAGAATGTGTAAACACAGATATTACATTTTAAGCAATGAGGCTAGTCCATTTGGGGAAATTGGGCAAGGTCCCATCAATGTTATCCAGTTTCCACCTGCCTGCCTTTTTACTGACAAGCAGCCCAGGGATTGGGGGGGGGGCACAGCCTGTCAGTTGCTCCTCCTTAGATTCAGTGTTGCCCTTATAAAACTCACCTAGGAGCAGAATGGGAACAAAACTATAATTAGTTGATTGTGCCTGTTATTGGCTGTGGCTCTACCTACTGTTCGGCTCCCTCCTTTCCATCCTACCAATACCAATAGTCACCAGTCTCCACTGATTTTAAGTGGAGCAGAAGCAGTCTGGTCATGACATTGCTCACCTTGAAACCCTTGCCTTGAGATCATGCTCTGGGGGATGGAAAGATTTTGCATGCTTCAGGCCACACTGGAGGAAAACATGCAGTTATGTTATCTAGTATGGCTAGTAGCATGCTAGGACTATACTGACCATTTCTTCTGAATAGAACCAAGGTACGATTGCACTCTTACTGATCCAGTGTGTTTGATTTGCCAGTGTCTTTGTAACTCTGATTGCAAAGCCAAAAGTTCATTCCTTGCTCAAGAGTATTCACCTATCGTGAATGCTCTTATTGAGAGTAACATATGCCTCTTTCAAATCCTGATGAACCAGCATACATTGGTTTATGGTATGGCAAGCTCACAATTTTTGTCAAGTTTCATTTTTGTCCTAGAACATCCCCTCCCCACAACACACGGGTGCCAGCAGTGCCATTTAGGAAGGGCACACACCCCTGTACATTTTGAATTTAATGGGAATATTCCACAGAAGCATCTATTCCCCCCCCCCAGCAAACTCACTGTTTTTGTGCACTCAGTTACTATTGTTATGATGCATGAAAACCATGTGGTCCTAGGCACATTTACTCAGAAGCAAATTTCACTGATGTCAGTGGGACTTACTCTCAAATCCTTATAGGACCGCAACCTGAATACAGTCATACCTTGGTTGCCGAACGACTTGGGACTTGTACGTTTCGGCTCCAGAACAATCAAAAACTGGAAGTGAGTGTTCTGGTTCTCGAATGATTATGAGAAGCCGAACGTCCGGTGTGGCTTCCACGGCTTCCGATCGGCTGCAGAAGCTTCCTGCAGCCAATCAGAAGCCGCGCTTTGGCTTCAAAACATTTTGGAAGTCGAATGTACTTCCGGAACGGATTCCATTTGACTTCCAAGGTACAGCTGTATGTGTTTATAAAGCACATTGTTTTCTCCCCTGCAATTTAATGCTTAGTAAGCTTTTTGTTGTTTCTGATAATCCTGTCTTCTCCCACCCACCAATCAGAACCTGATACCTCTTTTCTCTTCACTAGTGAAATCTGTAATGGCACACACAATGTGTACCTCCTCTTTCTCAAATTGTTTTCCATTGTTTCCTTGAAGAGAAAAACACACATGCATGCCAGTTTGCCAAAAGAGGATAGGCAAAGACCTGGAAATGAGAATTAGCCAGCTGAATTGATAAGAGTAACAAGATTCAGTTTCCACCAGAGGAAAACTCCCAAGTCACTGGGTGGCTTCTGGTATTATTCCACATTTTTTAAAATTGCAGTCTAAAAAAACACATGCCATCTTATGTTTAAAAAAAGGTAAAGGTACCCCTGCCCGTACGGGCTAGTCTTGCCAGACTCTAGGGTTGTGCGCCCATCTCACTCTATAGGCCGTGGGCCAGCGCTGTCCGGAGACACTTCCGGGTCACGTGGCCAGCGTGACATCGCTGCTCTGGCGAGCCAGAGCCGCACACGGAAACGCCGTTTACCTTCCCGCTAGTAAGCGGTCCCTATTTATCTACTTGCACCCGGGGGTGCTTTCGAACTGCTAGGTTGGCAGGCGCTGGGACCGAACGACGGGAGCGCACCCCGCCGCGGGGATTCGAACCGCCGACCTTTCGATCGGCAAGCCCTAGGCGCTGAGGCTTTTACCCACAGCGCCACCCGCGTCCCATCATCTTATGTTTAAATAATATCAAATAACACATTATGATCGTTTCAGATTTGTAAAGGATCACACGGAAGTAAGAACCCAGAGAAGCAAACAAATGCTCCATATCCATAATAAATTAAACCCCTCCCCCCCCATAGACTATCAGCAAGCAAACAGAAATTTCACAGCAAAGCTAAATGGGAGAAATAACCTTATAATTATAACAGATTTTACACATCTTACACAAGTGTTGATTTGTTCACACCTCACATTTCCTTCCAATTTGCCTATATAGGGCATTACTCAGAAACACAATGTCCGATGATGATGTATATTCCCTTAATAAGAAACCTCGTTCTTTTTTTAAACAAGAAAAAATATATATTCCAATGTGTTATAGATTTTAAAGAGAAAGCTGAATATGTATGAGTTGGAAACTATGTAGAAGGCTGGGTAAGTGGAGCCAAGATAGTCACGTCTCAGTTTCGCCTTATTCCAGGTCAGCAAGATAGGGCAGAACAGCTGCATTAGTAGGCATAAGATCCCTGAAGTCAGGCAAATGCGTGATTATTTAATGTTATTGTTATATCTCAGAGAGCTGAGGCCCCAGGTCCCTTTTGGGTTGCCAGAGGATCTATGGCACAAAACTTGAAGTACCACAGATTATAGCGACCACAAGGAGAACTATCCAGCCTGTTAAGTATTCTATGGCTCTTTGTGGGCAAATTCATGCAGGCTTATGGCCAAAGCTCAGTGGTGCCAATGGAAGCTTCTCTGCCTTGCCCAAATAGCAACTTGGAGAAGGGCTTTTGGGGGGGAGGGGACTATGGTGCAGGAGAAAAGAATTAAACCCACCTCCCCATGTGGTACAACCCTAATCCTGCCTGGGGCCACAAGAGTTGCTACTGACACTTCGGGGGGGGGCAACTTCAAAGCTGTCTTCACATGTTAAACTTGTGAAGGGGTTCCATGTAAGTCAGAGCAGAGATTCAGGCTTGTAGCAGGACCTTGGACAGCTCCAAATAGAATCAAAGCCAAGCCCAGGCCTGGAGAGGAGCATAAAAGCAGGAACCATTAGTTGCTAGAGATGTCTTGTAAAGACAGGTCTTTGGCCCAGCCTTTCCCTGACTGTACCCTGTTTATATATGTCTGAATCCCTGAATCCCTGTTTTATTTGGTTTTATATACTTTTCTATGTTTTTATGCTATCGTTTCATCGGCTTTACCTTGCAGTTTCGTTTAATGATATTGTTTGTTTTGTATTGTATACAAATCATAGAATCATTCAAGAGTTGGAAGAACCACAAGGCCATTAATGCCAAGCAGGATCAGAGCACATTGACATATGGTTTCAAGTGCTTTGTCCACACATTGGCGTCACTGTCGAACAGCTCTTACTGTCAGGAAGTTCTTCCTAATGTTTAGGTGGAATCTTCTTTCTTGTAGTTTGGATCCATTGCTCCGTGTCCGCTTCTCTGGAGCAGCAGAAAACAGCCTTTCTCCCTCCTCTATGTGACATCCTTTTATATATTTGAACATGGCTATCATATCACCCCTTAACCTCCTCTTCTCCAGGCTAAACATGCCCAGCTCCCTTAGCCGTTCCTCATAAGGCATCATTTCCAGGCCTTTGACCATTTTGGTTGCCCTCCTCTGGACACGTTCCAGTTTGTCAGTGTCCTTCTTGAACTGTGGTGCCCAGAACTGGACACAGTACTCCAGGTGAGGTCTGACCAGAGCAGAATACAGTGGCACTATTACTTCCCTTGATCTAGATGCTATACTCCTATTGATGAGGCCCAGAATTGCATTGGCTTTTTTAGCTGCCGCGTCACACTGTTGGCTCATGTCAAGTTTGTGGTCAACCAAGACTCCTAGATCCTTTTCACATGTACTGCTCTCAAGCCAGGTGTCACCCATCTTGTATTTGTGCCTCTCATTTTTTTTGCCCAAGTGCAATACTTTACATTTCTCCCTGTTAAAATTCATCTTGTTTGTTTTGGCCCAGTTCTCTAATCTGTCAAGGTCGTTTTGAAGTGTGATCCTGTCCTCTGGGGTGTTAGCCACCCCTCCCAGTTTGGTGTCATCTGCAAATTTGATCAGGATGCCCTTGAGTCCATCATCCAAGTCGTTGATAAAGATGTTGAATAAGACTGTTGAATAAGACTGGGCCCAGGACAGAACCCTGTGGCACCCCACTAGTCACTCTTCTCCAGGATGAAGAGGAACCATTGATGAGCACCCTTTGGGTTCGGTCAGTCAGCCAGTTACAAATCCACTGAGTGGTAGCATAGTCAAGACCGCATTTTACCAGCTTATGAGCTGGTAAATAGAGATTTCAAAAAATAGAGATTTCAAAAAATATTATTTTTTCAAATAGAGATTTCAAAAAATATTAAGCACCTTATAAATGCCTTAAAATAAATTAAACTGGCTACAGCAAAAAAAACAAACACACACACACACACACACACCCAAAGAGGGCTACTGTGACACATTGCTTTGCTCTCAAGGCTGGGAACTAGGGAGTTGTGCCAAGGGCTTCTTGAGGCGGAGAGGGTTTTGAGAGGTGGCACCATCCATAGAAGGAAGTGCCAAGCCTATGGGGCAAGAATGCAGAAAGGACAGAGCAGACAGCCTTTGGAATGCCCAGGTTGGTGGAGCTGGATAAGCAAAAATATCATAAAAAGGGATGTTGCGGGCTACAAGATCAGAAAGTCCTGCAGGGCAAAGTCATGGGAGGGGGTTGAAGGTAAAGTGAAGGCAGGAGGGCCAACTTGGCCCGGTGACCGTGGGTGCATGGCCCTGGCACTGAAATCTGTGGGTGCCCAGCCCCTTCATGGGGAATTTTGTGAGAGCTCGGGCACCCAGGGAGTTGGCACCTATGAGTGAAGAAGCTTGCACTGCGTACAGGAAGAGGGCTGCTGCAAGAGGGTTGCTGCTGGACTCACCTTTGGGCTGCCCTCCCATGGATGCCATCACCTAGTGTTCTGTGGGGCATGTGAACCGACCTTTCATGTGGGGAAACCTGCGCCAAGAAAGGACACCTCTGCAGTCTTCCTGGCCTCAGGAAGGAAGGAAATGAAGGGCACCAGGACTGATGGATGGCGCATGAAGTCTTTGCTCTTTCACCTTGCGGGTTTATTTACTGTGAGCCTGTGGGGAAAGCAGGGTATAAAAGAACAGAGCAGAAAGAAATCTCAGCACACAATCACAGAATGGCAAAGTTGGTAATCTGGTCGTACCCGCTGCAATGCAGGACCCTTTACTATAGCATCCATTCCCTGGTGGTCTAGTGGTTAGGATTCGTTGCGGCCGAGTTTGATTCCCAGTCAGGGGAAAGAAAGAAAAACTATAGCATCCATGACAGACAGATGGCCATCCAACCATAGCTGTCAACCTTTCCTCTTTTTTTGGCGGGAAATTCCCTTATTTCAGCGCCGTTTCCCACTGCTATCCCTGATTGTTAGGTATCCCGTAGACTGTCAGGTGACGCTGCTGATCCCTTATTTTCAAATCTGAAAGTTGACAGCTATGCATCCAACCTCTGCCCGAAAACCTCCAAGCAAGGAAAGTCCCCAACCTCCCAGCAGATGCATGGGAGGAGCAGTTTATGAGGGGAAACTTCCGTAGCCCAGCCCCTGAGGAAGCGGCCCAAACTTGGGCTGCTTTCCTAGGCCCTTCGAGGCCCACTAGCCGCTGGCCGCCAGCAAGGCCAAGAGGGGGCGAGTCCTCGGCGCTGAGGGCGGCTCTCCTCGGAGGGCCTAGCCCCTCGGCTTCCCCGCCATGCCCTCGCTCCGTCCTCACACGCCCCTCTAGGTGGCCCCGCGCTACGCCTCGCGCCTCTGAGGAGAAGCTGCACCTGTGGCTGCCGCCGCCTGTCCCACGCCTGCTTTGGCGCGCGAGGCTCCACCCGGCTCGCGCCTGAATGCGCGCCCGGCATTGGCGCTGTCGCCAGCCGCCGCCTGAGTGGAGGCAGCACTAAGCGGAGGAGGGCGGGAAGGCGGCGGCTGCTGCTGCTGGTTCCTACCGAGGTGGCCTCAGCTTGGCCCCAGGCGCCCGGCCACAAGGGCTCTCCGGGGGTGCCTGCGTGGCATGGACGGCGCCCAGAGGAGCCGAGCAGAGTCTCCTGGCGGGAGAAGGCGGCGGCGGCGCCCGTCCGAGCTCGGCGCCCGCAGCTCGCCGGTGCCCTGAGCGCCAAGTCCGAGCCGCGGCGCTCCCTCCCTGGGCGAGGCGTGTGGGGAGTGGGGGGGGGGACCGGGCGGCGCGGGGTGGGGGTGTTGGGGGGGCAGTTCTCCTCAGCTGCCTCTCTCTCGCTCTCCTCAAGAGCTTCGCCTCAGCCTCCTGCGCTGGGCGGGGGGAGCGTCGGAGGAGCGAGAGAGAGGCAGGCGAGGGGACTGTCGCCTCCGCCTCTTCCTCGGCGGCTCTCGGGCAGCCGGAACCGCACGCGGCCGCGGCGGCAGCTGCTGCTGCTGCGGCGGGAAGGGAGCCCGGAGCGGAGGGATGTGGGGCTTGGGACGAGGCAGGATCTTCGGCGTCTTCTCCGCTCCGGTCCTGGTGGCCGTGGTCTGCTGCGCCCAGAGGTAGGAGCGGCGCCTGGCGGGGAGGGGAGGGAGGGGACGCCGCGAGGGGGGGGGGAGAGGGCTGCGGCTCGACCAGCCACCCGAACTGACCAGAGCTTCTTTTTCTGCCCCCCTTGCCGACCTCTCTCTCCTCCTCTGTCCCTGCCTCGCTCCTTCGCCTTTCTTTCCCTCGCCCCTCCTTCCCCTCCTTTCCATCTCTTCCCCTTTATCGCTTCACTTTTCCTCACCCCCCCCCTTTTAATTTTTTAAAAACCCTTCACATCTTTTCGGACTTTTCATATCCCTCTCACCCTTTTCAATCTCTACCCCCCTCCTTTCACATTTCTCCTCAAACTCCTCCTTTCCCCCCCACAGTGTGAGCGATCATGGGAACATGTCCTTCGTGAAAGAAACGGTGGATAAATTGCTGAAAGGCTACGACATTCGCCTCAGACCGGATTTTGGAGGTGAGTCTCTGGTTTGGTGTCTCTTGTTCTTGTCTGTCTCGGATTCTGTGCGGGGTTTTTTGTTTTCCCTTGGGGAGGGGGAGGAGGAATATTCTTGAGAGAGAGGAGGGGGGGGGACCATGTTTCTACCAAGTGTGGGGCCAAGTGACACTGTCTCCTGTTCTCCTTTAGGCCCCCCAGTGAACGTCGGGATGAACATAGACATTGCCAGCATCGACATGGTGTCAGAAGTCAACATGGTGAGTAGGTCTCTGGTGACTTCGGCATGGACATGGCTGGGAACTTACTGTGTTGGATGTAAGGCTTCTTCAATGGTCCTGAATCTCGGTGTTGGTGATCACGCTCAGAGGCAGAGGAATCATGGAATCGTAGAGTTGGATGGGACCCCAGGACCACCTTATCTAGTCTGCGTCCCCCTCCAGGAAGCTGGAGTGTGCTTAGGAGGGGCAGTAGGTGGAAGGGTGTTGAGTAAGAGGCCCTTTCAGCCAGAGAGCACCTGGGCTGAAAGTTTTGACAAGTGCCGGAAACAAGCAGTTGCTAATCTTTGGCATTTTCTGTGGGAGGTGACCCTGGCCCCTGTTATATATACATTGAGCCTCCCCATAATGGTTTGTGATGCTACTCTTTGCTGCTTGGCGAGGACCGCTTGTTGATTTGAGAAGTTGTAATGCAGCAAAAGCCGGTCTAATGGCTGGCTTGGGTGTGTCATACGCAGTTAGTACTTGCATGTGGGGGTGTTCAGTTGATGGCAGCAGAGTAGACTGCATGCTGAAGGGGATAAAGCAGGTTTTCAGAGTGCTGTCTCAGGTGCTGAAAGGGAACTTCTGTTGCCCAGATGCATCTGTTGTTCCTGATGCTTGCTGGGATTGCAGATGTCACCCTAATCAGAGTTTTAAAACTGCACTGCTTGTATTGTGTGTGAAGGAGGCACTGCGCTGTCTAAATCATGACCTGGTTCCACTTAAAAAACCCATGCTGCTTGTCACCGCTGTAGAGCATGGAACATTTCAAATATTAAGTGCAAATAACTTCGAACCAAGTAACAAATGTGTGGCTTTGCCATGCGGCAAATGTTTTTGGCACATGAGAACTTACGCTGCATCCTATCCCCACTTTCCTGGGAGTAAACCCCAATGATGTTAATGAGACTTACTTCTATGTGTACGTTTGCACTCTTAAAAGTAAAAGATATATCACAATAGAGCTGGGATCTCACTAATGACCTGGGTAGGGAAACTTTCCCCGCAATATTAAATGGGATATATGTGCAAGCACTTTATCGTATTTTGCAGTCCTAAATATACCTTGTTGAAATGCTTCATTTGCAAAAAGAAATCTCTAGAAGACTTCTTGTAAGAACTATGGCATTAATATCAAACATATCTAAAAGTCTCAAGTTAGTATTAATATATTATACTAATGGGGTTTTTTTACCTCTATTTATATGTTCTTTAGTAATAAACATGTTGGGTGCTATGCTGTTTGAAAATAAATAAAAGAGAATGTATCAACAGTGTTTTAAAGAATAAACAGAATAGAGGAAATATTAGAGAGAAACTATTTTAAGATGCTTTCTAATCCTCTACAAAACTGGATAAAGTAGTTTTTTTTAAAATCCCTTTTGTTGTGCTTCATTGTATGTTTAGAATGTGTTGTATAGATTGAATTTATTTGACCCAATAGATTACTGTATTCTTAATACAATTATGAACAGAATAAATTACTTTTTTGTGTTTGGTTGTTTGGAAAATCTTAAAAGGTGTGGCTTCTGCAGAAGAAACAGATTGATTAAAATATGTTGACATATTACTTGTTACTTAGAAGTTAAAAACATTACTATTGAACCCAATACCTTTACAATCGCTAAATGATTTTGATTGTCAGATTTATTAAGTTCAGAAGTTATTTGTGTTTCTATAGTTATTTGGTGATTCATGATGGTCTCAAATAATACAAGAGGCAGGTTTCCTGTTCTCAGATGGGACACTGGTTCTTAACACAATATTGAACACATTACTTATCTGCCCTGGAAAATATCAATTGTGGCTTCTCATTGTTTCCTCTTATGCTGTTTTATATTTAGTACTCCAATCCTAACCAAATTTTCTGGGGAATAAGGTTCCTTTTGGATGTGGTAGAGAAGTGCAGTGAACAGGAAACGCAAATTAAGTGTACTTCCTGTCTTTCTGCATATCATCAAATTAGAAACAGCTTCCCATTCCAATGGGTGCTTTCCAGTATTAATCATGCTTAGATAAGACCTAGTGAAATCTCTATCTACTGTGAGTATAACTTATTTGGTTTTCACCCATTGATTTTAATGGGCCTTGTTTCTAAGTACTTCTGTGTAGGACTGTATCCTAATGCTTTGACAGCTTAACCTATTATCTACACTTCTTTTTGAGTAGGTGTTTACTGTTTTTCAACTTCAGGAAATGTTGGTGGATATTTTCAGAGTATTTTCTTCAAAGGGTGTTGGCCCAAAATAGCTGAGGAAGCCTCAAATGAAATTAGAAGGAAACAGAACACACAAGAATCATTGTTTTGTGATACAATGCAAACTTAAAACACGTGTTCTGTACCCTCAGTTACTGTCAACTCAGGGCAGAGATGTGGTCCCAGCTCTGTGTTTTGAGGTAATGAGGATTCTGGAGGAAGACCATCCAGAAGGTTAGCCAGGTTTGTCTTACAGCACCTTGAAGACTAACAATTTGATGATGGCATAAGCTTTTGTGGACTACAGTACATTATCCAGAGTTACAGTATGTTATCCAGAGTTGCAGATACAGGTATACATAGTGGCAAGGAAGAGGATTGTAAACAGTGAGGTCAGAAGGAAATAAAATTCAGGAAAGTTCTGCAGTTCATTTCCTTAATTCTTAAGGTTTTATGGTGCTGCAAGTCTCTTTGTCGTTTCTGGAACAAGAAGCCACTTGGAGCAACACCTTCCTAAGTACACCAATTCATAGCTGTAGATGCCTTGTCCATTGTCCTCCCCTCACCCTCACAACTGGGGAAATAATGGAAAGCTGTTAGGGCCAGGGTAGGATTTTCAGGGAAGACACTAGCTGCTCCTGCTAAAGCAGGATGTGATGAAAACATATATTGTATATCCTCAGCATCTGCTCAATTAGATCTCCAATAAAAATACTCAGGACTGGAGATTTTTTTCAGGTTGGCAAATTAGTATAGCCAGAAGTTGAATTGGTTTTAAGTTGCCTGAACTTTGCTGCTGCAACTAGTTATAATAAAATGTCTATACTGCATTCCCTGCCTCCAGTATTTGCAGAGAGTGCATGGAAGAAAAGACCTCATTGCTGCTCAATTATGGCCCTTCCCCATAGTAATTGGTAAACAACTCTGGAATCTATTGCTGTTTTATATAGTCTGCCGCAAAGTGCCTATAATTGGAAGAATATATTTAGTTTTAAATCTGTACCTCCGTATGCCCAGTACTTAATCACATTTATTCATCAGTGGGTCCTGAAACATTGCAGGGTTCTGATTTATTAGGCCACGTCACATGATGAATGGGATGTTTAAAATAAACAGCTTAAGTAATGAATACAAGCATGACAGGGACAGAACATATATTCCATCTAGTCTGGTACCCAGTTAATTGATTATCCTAAGAATCCCTTGACAGCTACAGATGTAGGTTGAAACGTCTCGCGCAAATGGCTATCTACTTCATGTTATATGTCCTGATTCTTGAGACACAGATTTGAGCTCAGGGACTCACTTCAGAGCAGGGCTTATGGTAATGTCCCCAAAGAAGCAATTGGTGACATTTAATTTCTGCAGTTGTGCACTCTGTTCTACATGCAAGTGAGGTTAGTAATTTGTTTAGAAAATAGGAAAATGCCAGTCATGGTTGGGAGGTGGTTTATTGTGTAGTCTAAGCTGCTGTTGCTGGGTGAGAAGTGAATCTGAGCAATGCAATACAGGGTGTTGGGATCTTCAAACCCATTCTGCTGTGAAAACCACCATATTAGGTTGTGGAAAGGGGGTACAGTGAGAGTTCCCCAGCCTATCTCCTGTTAAAGGTGTTTGGGGCCATGGCTTCATAGAGAGAGAATTAAACCATGTGGAAATCTTAACTTACAGCTAGAGGGTGCAAAGAAGGGAGCCAGAAACTGACTTTTGTGATAGATGGGATGAATGTGAAAAGGGGGGGCATAACACAAGGACCCCTAGCAATGAGATGTACAGTACTGTGCATCCTTGTGGGAGTCCTGTTACCATTTTCGTTCCAACCACAATTGTGCTCCCTTCACAAGTGTAGTACTTCTCTACACTGGAGTAAATGGTAACTAGGGGTGAAATCCAACAGTGCAATAAGTTTCAGCTGTGCAATGGAACTTCCTCGCACTCTCCTCTCCCTGTGTGCCCCCTATAAATATGTTCCAATGGGTTGGGGAAACTTCCAGAATAGATTCAGGGGAGGCACAGGGAGGGGAGAGGGCAGGGATGTTCCACTGCACAGCTGAAACTCTGTGTGCTAGCGGAACTACTTCCCCATTTGCTTATATGGGAGAAAATAAACAGTACAGATGGTAGCCCATTTCCTTTGTGGCATGGAACTTGATGGAAACTACTGGGAAACAGATCTGCTCCTTTCTTCATGCCCTCTGCCTCTTTGTATAATGCATAAGCCACTTGCATTTACTTAAGTGTGATGAAACACTGGGAGCTGCCCTTTTCTATGGCAGGGGTTCCCAAACTTTGGTTTCTGGACCACCAATGGTCTGCAAGCTTCATTCCACCGGTCTGCAGCATATCTGTGTATTCGTGGTTGAAGACGGGAGACAGCACAGCCATTGCATTAAATATTCATATAGATTTTTTTTCTAATTTTATTGCTTCTTTCATTACTTATATTGTATTTTATTGTATTGCAATTCGAATTCCATGGAATTCAAATTGCGCTGCAATAAAATACACTGTATAAGAAATAAAATAAGCAATTAAAATCATACAGCATCTAGCACAGCACATTACAAATTCTACCACAGGCAGAAAAACCATTAAGAGGTCCAACAAGATGATCAGCAATTTTCAGGTGATCTGTGGCAGGAAAAGTTTTTGAACCACCGTTCTGTGGTATCTCTGGTAAATAAAATTTATTAATTACAGGCAATCTGATTTTACCAGAAACCTCGTTAAAATGTGCACCACTAATATTTACTGTGGCTTGTATTTGATGAAATCATGCTCATGTTGGACCCTTTGAAATCAT